ACCAATGACGGCGCCGATGTTGATCACGACTCTGACGATAACGATGCTGTCCACGCGTGCGTGATAAAAGCCGAGGTAAGATTTCGAAATGCGCGCTCGGCCGATGGGCGCGAGCGACCCGCATTGCATCATTCGACAGGAACTGTGCCCCCCCCAAAAAACGCGCGCATAGGATCGACTGGTTCCGGCACGCGCGCGCAAGGCCTGGTCGCGCGTGATGAACATGTTGGAAGTAAATGTTCCTTACGAGTAAGCAAAGGCGCGCGCTTCTGTGTTGTTCCTCACATCCAGAGTGAGGTTCTTGTGTTAACGGAACACCCCGCGCAGACGCAATAACGCCCCTCTCTTCTCACTCACAGCATCATCACCATCAACGTCAGCACCACCACATCATGATCCTCACATCGTCATCACCACATCATCATCACTTATGCACTCACTCGCACTCCCTCGATCATTCTCACCCACTCATCACTTACTCACTCCCTAGCCCACTCACTCACTCACATCTCCTGGGTGGTTCACTCACTCACCCACTCATAAGTGCCAGGCGAAAGCCTCGTCTGTGTGTGAACTGCGAGGAAGTCTCAGGCGGAAGCCCCTTCTCTATGGTGCCCGCATACCACGTTACTAATCCGATCGGGCCATCGGAACCCTGCAACCGTCGTCACTTCTGGGCCCCCGAAGCCTGAATATGGGGGAAGCATCAGGCGGGGGCCTGGTCTGCGAGGGAATTGCGAAGAAGATTCAAGCCGCCCCTCCCCCCCAGGGGGCTCGCGCCTCGCGCTGCTAATCCGAGCCAGTCATCGCGGCCTGAAGCCGGAATATGGCGGAGAGTCTCAGGCGTCACTCTTCGGCTCCTGAGGCCGGAATATGGCGGGAGTCTCAGGCGGGGGCCTCGTCTGCGCGAATTGCAAGGGATTATCGAGCGGGGGCCCCTCCCGCATGGGGTCCGCCTATCATGTTGCGAGTCCGAGCGGGACATCGGAAATCTACAGCTGTCGCCGCCCCTGGGACCCCGAGGCCACGTTGAGGGGCCCGGCGAGGAGAGGAGCTTGCAAAAGCTCAGGCCCAGCGAGCAAGAGTTCACGCGGCAGAGCCCAGAGCTGCACGTCGCGCGCCGCTTGGGGATTCACCCCGCCGCACGCGCCCCACTTGACCTCCGCGCTGTCGAGAGGGCCAGGCGCCCCGCAATGGCGCCACCATCGACTGCGCCAGGGATGAGGGCGCTGGTCGCACGGACATGTCGGACGAGCAGGAACTAGCAAAGGCGGCGCCACCTCTACGTCATGTTTCCCCACGCCACGCGCATGAGGAACATGCCGGCCCCGCGGCCGCCCGCTCGAAATTCCGGGGCGCGGGCCGCCGGCGCCCTGCGACAGGCGTTCGCGGAGTTCGACGCGGTGACTGCGAGCTCCAGGACTGAGGCGGAGCAGCTCGCGGCAAAGCTGGGTTCCGTGCTGCCCCCCGCCTGAGAGCGGCCGCGGCTGGCCCCAGACCTGCGGGGCTGTCCCATCGGCTGGCCCCCGCGCCCCAGGGGCTCGAGGGGTTGCCCCGCAGGCCTCGCGCGCCGGGCTGCCCCAACGCTTCGTGATCCGACCGTCGGAGAACGCGCTCGCGCTAGCCGCGGCGGCAACGGCGCCGAGGAAAATGAAATGCAGAGGGGGGGGGGGGGCGGGGGGGAAGGCGGGGGGGGGGGCGGGGGGGGGGCGAGGAAAAAGAAGGGAAGACGAGAATGAGGAGGAGACGGGGGGCGAAGATGACGACGAGGAGGCGGCGCAACAGTCAGCAGGAGGAGAGCGCCCGACAAGGCGAATGGGAAAAAGTGAAAGCAAATTGTGCATATTCCCATGCGGGGTCGCACCCCATCGGAGTAAGTTATGTGTTTTCAAAGCGCTCGACATTGGGCCATCGAAGCAAACCCGATGCTTCCTGCAGGATTCCGGCATGCGCGCGCGACGCCGCGCGCGCGTGGACCTTGCCACCATCGCAATAACACAAAAAGGTAGTTGCGAAGTGATGGCTTGTGAGAAATAGACGTGCGCTCATAATGATATATGCGAGGGGTGACGGGGGCGGCGGGGGCGGTTTGGACTCGCGAGGAAAATGAGATACGGGGCAGAATCGCATGTAAACTGCGGCACGCGAGGCGGGCCTGACATCCCAGGGGGGGGGGGGGGGCAGATTCCGAATCGCCTGTTAGAAAAAAGAGAATGCACGTAGTGCAACCTATGCGGCGCCATTACTTGTGGAGGACTTGAATTGTGAATTTCTTTGCTCGCGGAGTTACTCCGCCCGCCCATCCGCAACTTGGCGCGCAAAACACGGAGGCGACCGCGACCGCGCTAGACCGCGCGCGCTCGCGCGCAGGGCGGCCAGCTATTCTGGCGCGACCGGCGCGGTCGCGGCGGTGCTGACCGCTGGCCGCCGGGCGCTCTCCAGCGCGTCTCGCAGGCCGCGCCGATGCGCAGGCGCGTCGGCGCGAGTCGGCGGCTCGATCGGGCGCGGCATCATTGCGACGTCGACAACAGCAAGGCCAATGGCAGCGCCGATGTTGATCGCGCCGACGGCGACGATGGCGTTCGCGCGTCGGCAATGGAACGCTGGCGGTATTTTGACATGCGCGCGCGGCCGACGAGCGCGAGCGGCCCGCGTGGCACAATTTGACAAGGGTCGCGCTCCCCCCAGCGCGCGCGCAAGGACGCTCGAATAATGTGGACACGCGCGCGCGGGAGGCCCGCTTGGTCGAATGCGACGAAAATCTTGGAAGCCCACGGCGCTCTCAAGCATTCGAACGAGCGCGCGCAGACCTTTTGGTGTCCTTGTGGTTTGGAGGGTTCGAGGCGAACACGACGCTGGCGCGCGCATGTTTTTTTTTCCTGTTGCGCGGGATGGTACAATGGGGGGGGGGGGGGGGGTCGATGCAGGCCTGGCTGAGGCAGCATGAGTTTAATATGAGAGCTGCACGTTCGGGGAGGCATGGCAATCCCGCCCTCTGGGGGGCGGTCGAAATTAACTCCTCTTTGACGCGAGGGACATGCGCATGCGAAATGCAGGGCATGCGACCCAAACTACGGAGCGCAAGCTTCATGGCGCAATTCGCCCTTCCGAACTTGAAATTGGCAACTCCCCTGCCCGCGCAATCGCCCCACCCGCCCACCCGCAACTCGTCGTGCATAACCCGCGCGGCGGCGATTGCAGCGACGGCTCGGCGCTGGCTGGTGCATCGTCGCGGCCGCGCTCGCGAGCGCAGGCTCGCGAACGGAGCGACCAGCTGGTCCGGCGCGACCGGCGCGGGCGCGGGGGCAGTGATTGTCGGGGGACTCGCGGCGCGTCTCGCAGGACGCGCTGACGCGCTGGTGCGCCCGCGCGAATCGGCGACCCGAGCCGTCGCGGCTCGCGGCACTATGGCGGAGTCGACAACTGCAGACACGAGAATGAGCGCAGCGATGCTGACCACGACGATGCCGATGACGATGTCGAGGCCAATGGTAGCGACGATTCTGGTCGCGCCATTGACGATGATGGTGTCCACGCGACGGTGGTTGAATTTCGACGTGCGCGCGTGGCCGACGGGCGCGCGCGGCCCGCATTCTACCATGTGACAGGAATCGAATGATTTCGACATGCGCGCGAGGGCGTTCGAATGATTTCGACAAGCGCGCGCAACAAGTGCCCGTTCGGCCGCATTTGATACAAACGGTGCAGACTCGATTGTCCTATAGGAGAAATCTACCGAGCACGCGCGCAGGACTTTAAAAAAAAACAGCTATGTTGACGACCACTCGTGTTTGATATATGTTTGAGACATTCGGTGTTTGAAATCTTTGCGAGCACTGACGTGTTCACGGGATTGCGGCATGCGCGCGCGAAGACGCGTGCGTGTGTACTTTGTTTCTTTGTCGATGGGATGTTTTGGAAAACGGCTGGATTGCAATCGACGAAAGTTTGCGCACATAGCGTTTGGTGCAAAGGATGGTGGTGGTGGAGGGGGTCGATGCTGGCCTGGCTGGGATGGTACGACTTCAAGCTTGGAGTGAACGTATGTAAACTGCACACACCCTTGGAGGGCGATGAGACCTGCCCTGGAAAGGTGGCCCATCCGAACACAATGTTAGACAAGAGTATCTAAGTGGTACGATCTACGCAGCGCAGCAATGCAGTACAGAGCACGGCATAGCAATGCAATGCCGGACGACGCAGGCCCCGATGACGGGCGGAGACGAGGCGGCGACAGGGCGGCGGCGAGGCGGCGACAGGGCGACCACGGAACCGCCAAACCAACCGCCACGCAGGCCCAGACGACGGGCGGCGACGAGGCGGCAACGAGGCGGCGACGGGGCGGCGACGGCGGACACGGAGCCGCCAGGCCGACCTTCAGGGCCAGTTCCCTAGAAGAGAAGTGAAATCCCCTAAATGCAAGCGCAGTTTGGGGGGAATTTTCGGGGAACCGTGCCGACTTTTTCGGTCGGATCGGACCCAACGCCCTGGCGCGCGAAGCGCGCTACGCCCTGCTGGGGGTGGGCGGGTCCAGTGCTGACCCGAGCAAACCGCGCTGACCTACAAAAGTGCATACTTGTGCGATTTTGAATCTCCAACTGCAATGGCGCACGCGGCGCACGCGGGTCTTCGCGCGCATAACCCCGATGTTGTTCTAACATGTGGAATACTTCATTGCTGCGGGGTGGGTGGGGGGAGGACGGCCCTGGGTAACGGTGACGCTTGGGCGAGTTGGGGCAAGTCGGGGCGGATTGCTGCGATCGTCACAATATGCGCACGGACACCATCATGTGTGGGGGGGGACTAGGCCCTCTCCTTACATGCGATTGTTGCCATTTCCTGGGGGGGAACGGGAAACGGGGGGCGGGTCGCGACCGTTAGGAGCCAAAAGAAACAACAATCTCCACGAACATTGCGGCCCACTCCGCAAGCCTGTGGTGTTGCGCGCGTCATCTGGAGCACTGCGGCCCACGCGCGCGCGCCGCGCGCAGCCGGCGCGCCCATCGGCTTCGGGACGATGACGTCGAAAATCGCCTGCGCGCCGGGTCGCGCTGCGGGGGTCACGGCTGCGGGATGGCCCCTCCCAGCCTTCCAGACCAGGCCAGGTCAGGCAGCTCCTGGAAGTCTAGTCGTCACGTCCGCCGTGCCACTACAACCCTCGTCAAAATTAACCTCAAAATGTCTGACGTGGTTGAACTGCTTGTCGGAAGATCTGGGGCCGAGTATCGATGAGTGCGGGGTACTTGCATGCGCCGCCCCTCCAATGTCGGTCGACGTCAAACTTTCGAGTCAACTTCGGTCAGACTATCTTTGCCCTCGCCCCGACATTGAAGGGGCGGCGTGTCGACATTGAGGGGCGCGCCGAAATCGCAATGACGTGCCAGCAACTGTTGAGGTCAATCTTGACGAGGGTAGTAGGAGGCCTCCGATCGTCGTCTTCGCGGCACCTCACGCGCGACAATCGAGCGCGCGTGAGCCCGAATAATGGCCCCCTCGGGCAGTGCCCACGCTGCCACTCCTGCACAGGGCAGCGACCCGCCGATCGGGCGCGCAACCTCGGCGGGTGCGCCCTGGGGGCCAGCACCTCACGATGCAGCATCCGGTCCACCCGCCTCCTCCCCTGACCTTCCAGGAGGGCTAACAAAATAGCACCCGACTTAAAAACCTGTCCCAAAGCTGTTCTACGTCTTGGTTTTAGGCTGTTTCGCTCAGTTGTTTAGGCTTGTAGGCCTCCAGTGCTAAACAATAGCTCTCTGGAAGGTCAGGGTCCACCGCCCCCGTCCCACTACCAGCAGAGCGGCCTCGACCTCGACCTCGCTCTCGCCGCGCCAATGCCTGGACCAGGAGGCGATGGTGTGATGCGTCGGGAACACATCGTGAGGGCCGGCTCGTTCTCAATGGTGTCGGCCCCTGGAGGCTTCCGTTGGGCCCAGGGGCCATCAACCAAGACGGTCTGGATGAAGAAAGACGCTCCCAGAGATACGTACGGGGCCAGGTCACAGAGGAATCATGTCATGCCCCTGTCGCGTTGGGTATTTCGAGGGGGCTTGAGAAGGTCAGAACCCTTTGGAGCGCGGAGCTGGGCGAACTAAATCCTGCTCACGAACCTGGCGCCGACGAAGGATGCCCCCACAAACGCTAAAGCACGACCTGGAAGGCGGCTCAGACGATAATGGGACAGGGCCTCCCAGAGTGTATCCAGTGCAGTGCAAATCTTCGGAGCGACTCTATAAACCAATCTGGCGAACGCTTCAGTCTGGAACCCTGACGTGATCTTTATGGACTGAGTGTCCGCCTCCTGGCGACTTACTGATGTATGGGCCAACAAGTCTACGCGCAATCGTTCTGAGGCGATCGGCCAACACTGAGCATGCCTGCATGATAACATTACGCGCGTTCTCCACGTTAGACGGCGTAAACACCGATCCTGGGCCTGGGATCAGCCTGGCATGAATCGGAAGCGGCATGGAGGTGGCGTCCTCTGATCCCTCGGAAACCTCCAAAAATAATCACCACGCATACACGACCGACACCTCCGAGCACGTCACAAATCAACCAATACGCCCTCCCAGGAAGCCAGACACCTGCCTCCCTGTCCTCATCCTCAACGTACCCGATGCTTGTCCAGGACACTCTTTTGACCTGCGGCGTGCTGGGTCCAGCAAAAGCGGCCCGCTAACGGAGGGGCGCGGCGGAAGCGAATTGGGCACCCAGGAGAAGAAGGGCAGGAGGGCAGGAAGTGGAGGGCCGCGGACGGCTGGAGCACCCTCGGAGCGTGAGGGACTTCGGGAGGTGCCAGGGTCAGGCCCGAGAACCCGACCCCGTCAACGCGGGCGCAAGTGTGCCACAAGTCCACGGTGAGAGGACTGGTCCAGGACACATGCCGGGGACGGGCGGAGGGCACCACCGGGCCCCACAGGCGACCACGCGCCACGGGCACGTGGTGCCTGCTCACCCCGCAACGGACGGCACGGGCCCACCGAACAGAAAGCCAACCTCCGAGAGACTTGGACTCCCCCGACGCCAGCGAACCCCACCAAGCCACTCCGGGTCGACGCGCGCGCTGAGCGGAAGCCCCCCCGCCGCGGGGCCGCCTGGTCGCCACCGACCCGCTTGACCTTCCGGTACCACTCCGTCCTGCCGCGGCTCGGGTCACAAGTGGCGAACGTTCTGTGGCAACTCATGGGAGCCTGCCATGACGTCGTGCTGGTTCTGGCGGGTCGACGCTGATCGGCGGTAGTCGGCGCTAATCGACGATCGACGACGCTACATCAGCGCGTTCTCATCGACTTCCAGGAACTATCGAACGCCATCGCACACTAACGCACCCCAGAGACGGAAATACGAGGACCTACGAGGCTCCAATGATTTGCCACCGAAACGAAGGTAACCATCATTATCAACGCCCTCGCGGTCCAGACTCTCGGGCGCGATTCCGCAAATCCGCGGTCGCACGGATACTTTCCGCGCGGGGCACCCGCGAAGCAGCTGCTATCCGTGTCCGCGGGGTCGCGGCCCAGAGGCCCACCCGCGAAGCCGCGGTGACGAGGGCCCTCTGAAAGAGGCCCGGAACGGTGAGCACGAGGGGAGGGCATCGCATCGCTCTCGGCACTGGAGGGGCAAGCACGGCACGAGCAGAAACCGTCGGAGGTCCGCACGGATTTCTTGGATCGGCGCTGGACCCCCCGCGCGCGCCTCCGAAAGCTTGTGCTCACGTAGGTTGTGCCTCCTCGGCGGTGTGGACGCTTGTGTACCTCCCGCGAGGCGTGAGGGCAGCCAAGGAGCACAGCAGCTCGCAGTCGTATCCGTGCTGCTCTTTCTCCTCCAAGGAAACGCATCGAATCGATATCGGTGCGCCTCCGTGCTTTGAAGCGGCAGGGGGCGTCTGACCTGCCTGGGGCCCCATAGAATCGGCCAGTCGGCCACACGCAAGAATGACCCTGGGTAAGAGACCTTTGGTGCCCGGACTTTTGGGGGCCGAGGGGGGACCAAGCACAAGCGCTCACGACGCTACTGTCGCACTGCGCTCGGCGAGCGGGGGCACCCCAGCGGGGCCCGCACCAGAGGTCACTCCGGCGAAGGGTCACTCCCACGTGCAGCTGACTCAGGAGGGGGGGATGAAGCCATACCTACTCAAAGTCGGTCCCCGGGCCCCTCCCGGGGTCCAGCTGGCGCAGTCTTTCGTCCCAGATGCGTTTTTCACGGTCCCAGGGTCCTACAACGGCACCCCGATGTCGGAAAAGGCCCCAAACCCTCCCGAACCCAGAGGCTCGAGCCTGCCTGCCCTTCCTGCTGGCCAAAAACCAGCGCTGGGCTGCCTCGGACACCCCCGGGCGGGTCCAACTCTTACCCAGCCTCGAGCGTACCCCTAGCCCTGAGATTGACAGGCCAAAAAGCGATGACGCACTCAGGGATTCAATCTGAAGGCATTGAGGATCTGCGTCGGGCTGGTCACCTCGGCGCGTTCACGCGGTGAGGGTCGAGCGAGGAGCGGGGGCGGCCAGGAGGCTGGGCGGACCAGGGCAGGCAGGCGCAGGCGCACGCGACCCCGGGCGGAGGCGGGGGGGGAGTCGGAGTCGACCGGGAGATCGACTGCGGAGCTGATGCGCCCCAAAACTGAAATGCACGTCGAACCTGCGAAGCATGGAAACTTAGAGACATCGCAGGTCTACGTAGATCCTTCGCATGTTCCGTAGATTCCACGAAAACCACATGTTTGAGGTACATAAATTGTGTAGTCCATCTCCTACCCGAAAGAACAGAGACAGCCGGGGCACCACCACCACCACCCTCGAAGAAAGAGCCAGGGAGGGTGTCCCTTACACGCAAGCGTGACCCTAGGTAAGAGTGACCCTTGGCGCGTGGTTTCCAACGGCCTCGGGTAGGCCAAGTCCAAGCTCGCGGGCCAGTGCTGGGGGGACCCCTGTGAGCCCGCACCAAGTCCCTCCGGCGAAGGGTCACTTTTACGCGGGGCCGAGGGTGGGGCTGAAATGCAATTACACAGTGGAGCATAAACAGTCGGTCGGGACCACCACACCTTACGACGCAACTACTGGGAAGTCTTCGTCAGAACGATTGGGGGCTGTTAAAGCCCAATCAAAGGGTCACTGCGTGGGATGAGGCCGAATGTAAATGTCGGATTACTACCGATACAGCAGGAGTTAGCCGGACTAAATGGGAATGCCCCGGATTCGACGCGACTCTGCCAGACCGATGCTGAATTAGAACTCCCAGGAATTGTATCCTAAACCACCCGCGCAAAAAGAACCAAGGAGGGTGATCCCAAGCATCGTTCGACCGACCACTGTTCCCAGTGGCGCAGCCTTGACTCCACTGGCCGATCTACCCCCCAAAAATGGGTATGTATGCTGTTCTTTTCGCTGGGGTGTCGGGGCGGTGGGGACGAGATACGTCGGGAACAAGCTAACATGGATCAGGGATCCGTGAATCTGGCTCGTGGGCGCCAGATCCCCGGATCGGATCGGGGGGATGAGCCTTAGAACCATGAAGACAGTGACGCCTGAATTGAAGAAGCGCGCCGACTCTGTGCAGAAATGGGACGCGTTGATCATCCACGCGCCTCCCAGACCTCCTTCCGACGCGACCCTCAGAGGTAGGTCTCAACAATTCGCCGGCCCAACGGGCCAGAGGCGTGCTAAGATCTCCGGTAAAAGGTTAACAATATTTCTACTTCGCGCACGCGTGGCGGCCCCTGGGGACCCCGGGACGAAAAGTACCCCGGCCGGTCCGACTCAGAGATGTTTTGTTCTTGCTCTCAGGCGCCCCAGAGCGCTCCTAGAGGGCCCCAAGAGTCCCCAAGACGGTCCAAGAGGGTCCCGAGTCGCCGACCGATCGGTCCAAGACGCCTAAAGGTAGCTTCCAGACAGCCGCAGACGACGCGAAAAAGCCCACCAGAGCCTCAAGAGGCTCTCCAAGAGGGCCCCCCACAGTAAAGATCGCCCCATTCCCTTCGGAAAACGTACATCTTTCGCATGTGCGACGTTTCTCGTCTTTTCGGCTTCCCAACGCTCCAAGACGGCGCAAGAGGCCCCAGGATGGCCCAAGATGGGCCCTTGACAGCCCAAGGCCCAAGATGACCCCAAAACGGCTCCAAGGCACGCCCAAGACGGGGACCAGGAACCGAAAAGTCCAGCCTTCAGTCCCAAGAGGCCCTCAGGAGGCCCCAAGGAGCCCCCAAGAGGCCCCAAGGGGCCCCCAAGAAGCCCCAAGAGGCGCCCAAGAGGCCCCAACACAGCCCCGAAGAGGCCTCAAAACTGCCTCCCAGAGGCCCCCAAGAGTACCCAACACGGCCCCCAAGCGGCGAGGCAGTATGGGCCGGCGGAATGAGCGATGCGATGAAATAAGGATATGCCTTCCGCCGTAATCTGTTCATGGCTCGAGGGGGTCTGAGACCTCTCGGACCCATCTTGTGCCGTCTGGCCGCCTTCTGGGCACCGTATTTCGCCCATCTGGGGCGCACCCTCAGAGCCTCCAGGGGCTCTTCCAGGAGCCGTAACCAAACCCGGACTGCTTGTTTTCCCTTCCTGTTTTCATCGTTCACCCCAAGTCGCCGCACTTGACACATTCCGGCTCCTTTTTGGTCCCCTCCAGAGGAACCCGACGGTTTTTTTGAGCTTCCCCAGCCTCTCTGCAGCCGTCCTGGCCTCAGGGTCATGTGAAACACACTCCTCGGCGCGCTTCCCCGGATCAACCCCCGACGGTTTTTTTTCAGTTCCTCCAGCCTCTCTGCTGCCGTCCTGGCCTCAGGGTCATACGACACAGAGCTCGCTGCTTCCAGTTTCTCCAGCCTCTCTGCGGCCGTCCTGGGCTCAGGGTCACACGACAGAGAGCTCGCCGAGGAGCCCAGTGTCCTCTCCATAGAACCCCACGAGGCCTCCAAGCGGAATCACCAACACCAGAACATCTCCTATTCGCGCGCGCGGAGCGGCCGCCGCTCCCACAGAGTCTCCAGGATCCGAAGATGGTGGGGCGGCGGTGTCTGCCCCTACAGGGGCGTTCAATCGAATAACTGTATGCCTTCCGCCGTCACATGCTCGTGACTCGAGGGGGTCTGGGATCCATGTTTGTGCGTGTGTTGCGCCTGCTCGAACCATGGCCTCGTGTCCTTCGGGGATGGACAGACCCCCCTTTAGTAAAACGTGGTTTAGTGAAAACGACCTCAGGCCCAAACCTGACGGGCGCAAGCCTGGAAAATAACGGCCACGGCGCCATCTCGAGAACCGAAAACGGACAATTCACTAATCGACGTGTCACTGTTGGGGGTTCTGTCCACCCCTGGGTCCTGCGGCGTCCCGCACAAGGCCCGTGTCCCTTTGTCGTGCGCGCCGCGCCGCGCCCGCACCTCGCGGGGAGAGAGGCAGGGGGAGGGCGGGCGGGAGGGGGGCGCGTCCGCGTCGCCCTCCGCGCCACGGAGGCCACCGCGGTCCCCATCAGGGCCGCCGCGACGACCCCGGCGATCGAGCCGTCGGAGAGCGCCTGGCTCGGGCACGCGCGGCGGAGCGCCGCTCCTCGCAGGCCTAATGCCCTCGCTCCTGCGCGCGGGCAGGCCCTCGAAGCCAAAGCATGCGGCAGAAGCGTGCCTGCTGCATGTTGACTCCGGCGCTCGATGCCGGTGCGCGAGGGCCTTTGCCATTCACAAGAACTTCTTCCGCCAGCGCTACCGGTACACGCAGTAGGTCCACCCCCACCTCCACCTCGTCCTCGTCCTCCTGGACGCTGTCATCGGCCTTGTCGTGTTCGTCCTCGCCCTCCTCGTCCTCCTCACGCTCGTCCACCCCCTCTCTCCTCTCCTTCCTCCTCCCCTTCCTCCTCATTACGGATCTGTCACAACCTCGGGAGGGTCCTGGGAAATCTGTTCCCGGACGGGGATCTGCATAAATCCTGGACTTGGATCCCCTTCCTCCTCGCCTCCTCCGCGAGCTCGGCGTCGTCACTGCCGCCCTGCCAGACATTCGGCGTCACGATCTGTTCGTGACGCGGGCCCCTCGGCTGCACGTAAGAGTGACCCTGGGCAAGAGTGACCTTTGGTGCGCGGCTTCTGTGGGGGCGCGAGGAGGCCAAACACAAGCGCGCAAGACGCTACTATCGCACCGAGCGCGGCGATCGGGGGACCCCAATGAGCGCGCACCAAAGGTCACTCTGGCGAAGGGTCACTCTTACGTGTAGTCGAGCCCCTGGGTCTCTCAACACCATGCCCGGGGACCGGCTTCTCGTCCTGGGCCGCTTTCCGAAACGGGCCCCCCGCGGCTGAAAACGTTACATGCCAGCGAGGACCCGAACCAATAGATCGCTGCACCCTCAATGTGCAATGTGGTTCCTGAAACGTGGCGCGAGCTATGTCGTCGCCGCTGCAACCGTATCGGTAAAGCGGATCGGATCGGAATGCGCGTCAAGTCGGGCCGCATCGGCACGGAGTCGGAATCGAATAGGCCGCGCCAGGACGCACAACCACGCCCATGCAAGCGTTGGGCCACATCGGATCCTTGGGATGTCGGAATCGACATCGAATCGGGCCAGGTGGAATCGATCTCGAATCGGATCGATCGGATCGAAATGTACCCTGGCTGTGCAATGCGGTGCGATCTGCGTGGTGTGACCTATGTCGTCGCCGCCGCCGTGGTCCGCTTTCCCCCCCTGGAAAAAACAATGTCAGAGTGAGGGGGCCGAACGGTCATTCATTGTCCCTGGGTACGTGGCTGAAATGAGATTCCGCGGTGCGGATTCGTGCTGTTGTTGAGGTTGTTGTTGTTGTTGTTGTTGTTGTTGTTGTTGTTGTTGTTGTTGTTGTTGTGATTGTTGTTGTTGTTGTTGTTGTTGTTGTTGTTGTTGTTGTTGTTGTTGTTGTTGTTGTTGTTGTTGTTGTTGTTTGTTGTCGTCGTCGTCGTCGTCGTCGTCGTCGTCGTCGTCGTCGTCGTCGTCGTCGTGGTCGTGGTCGTCGTCGTCGTCGTCGTCGTCGTTGTTGAACATTATTCCTTCTAAAGAATTATTATTGTTGGGACCCCTGGTGCGCGACCTCTGCGCCGCGCCTAGGCCGCAGCTACATTTTCATCATTTTTTCGCGAAAGCTTCAGAAAAGTGGATGAGCTCCGGATCCGGTTTTTTGTTGACGCTCGTTTTCCCTTGCAAAAAACAATAGAAAATGAAAATTCTTGTTTTTACTTGATCAAATTGCAAGAATCCCTTGCAAAAAATAAGGTAAAGTGGACATTCGTGCGCGCAAGACGAAATCCTTCCAAAACCTTAGGTTTCGTAGCGATTTTAACATAAAAACATCAAAAACCCAATGGTTTTCTCAGAAAAAATTGTCAAAATGTCCTTCCGCGCGCTCTTGCGGATTCCTAGGAAACCCACCAGATTTTAAACATTTCTGTTAAAAGGGCCTTTGCGAGGAACCTTTTCAGGTGCTTCGACCTTCTGCAACAACGGTTGCGAGCCTACGAGGGCCACCATCCCTTGCAAAAAATGACACGAAGTGCACATGCGCGCGGCCGCCGCGCGCGCGTGCCGAAATCCTGCCAAACATAATGTGATTTCAATAATTTCAAGATGCGATGTTCCGAAAACATATGCAAACGCAAGACTTTCTCATCCGAAAAATATCAAAATCCACCCGCGGGCTCTTCATGAATCTTTAAAACCCAAGATGGCCCCAAGAGGCGCTCAAGATGGCCCCAAGAGGCGCCCATGAGGCCGCAAGAGGCGCCCAAGATGGTCCCAAGAGGCCCCAAGAGGACTCCAAGAGGCCCCCAAGAGGTTCCAAAGAGGCTCCAAGTTGGCTCCAAGAGGCCCCCAAGATGGCCCCAGGAGGCGTCCAAGCGGCTCCAAGAGTCCTCCGGGAGGATCCAATAAGCCCCCAAGAGGCCCCAACATGCTTTCAAGAAGCCCCCCAAAGCCTCTCAAGAGGACCCCATGCGGCGCCAGGAGGCTTCCCCCCTTCTCAAGAGGACCCCATGCGGGGCCCAAACAAGTGATCAACCTCTGCGGGTGTGTACTCCACGCCAGTGTAGTATCCACGATCGTCCGCGCGCCACGAAGTGAAGTGTCCTGACGTCATAGGGCGGGAAGCTGGGTGTGGGTGGTTCCCGAGAGTCGTGTGGATGTTTGGTAGAGCTTGCATTGCCCCCCCACGAAGTGGGGGTATTGGCTGGCGTCGCATGAAAACCCTGGCACTGGGGAGAACACTGAGCGTTCGGGTAAAATGATTGTTGTTGTTGTTGTTGTTGTTGAACTCTAATTACTGAAGAATAATTTTTGTTGATCCCCCCCTCCGGCGGACATTGTATTTTTTCAATTGAAGTGCCCCTTCCGGGGCTTGCACCCTGTTCTTTATCAGGGAAAGTCGTGGGCATCAAACTGCGTTGTTGGCCCCCCGGACAACAACAACAACAACGGCTCCCGCCTGATACTTCCTCCAAATTTACTCAGGACCCCCGCCCCCGCCTGGGACTTCCTCGCAGTTTACTCAGGCGAAGGCGCTCCCGCCTGAGACTTCCTCGCAAATTATTCCGGACCCCCGCCCCCGCCTGGGACTTCCTCGTCCCTCCTCCAAACTCCCTCCTCCCTCCCTTCCTCCCCCCTTTCTCTTTCTCTCCCTCTCTCTCTCTCTCTCTCTCCCTCTAAATCGTCCTCCCCCCTCCGCGTCCCGTCCCTCCTAGCATCTTCCCTCCTCCCTCGTCCCTCCCTGCTCCCTTCCCTCCTCCCTCGTCCCTCCGCCCGCCCTTCCAAAGAGAAATAATCCCCCTAAAGGGGGTACGTTCGAATACTAAGAGGGCGGGTATCGAGGGTGTGCCTCGTGATTCATTCAGGATTCACCCTTTAGTCACCCGCCCGCCAGGTTTCGCCCGCCCGATCCGCCTGTTACAGCCCGCCCGTTCGCTCTCTTGGCATCTCGCCCGCCCGCTTTAAGCCACCGCCCGCCCGACCCGCCAGCGAGGGTCCGCCGCCCGACCCGTCCGTTGGCGTCCGCCCGCCCCGCCAGCCCGACCCGCCCCTCAGAGTCCGCCGCTCGACCCGTCTGTCTGGTTCGTCCGTTTGTTTACCTCCTCTTTTGCCCCCCTCCCCTCCTGCTAACCTCTTTCGTCCTCCATCCATCCTCCCCCCCTTGCCCCTTCCCTCCTCCCTCCCTCCCCCCACTCTTTTCCTCCTCGCTCTCCCTTCCTCCTTCCCCCTGCTCTTCCTGTTTTAGGGGCTGCGCCAACTACACGTGGCGAGTAAAAAAGGTATACCCCCAAAGGGGTATGACCGAAGACGAAGAGGGTGGGTATCGAGGGTTTGGGATTTACATATCGAGTGACGCGCGCGCATATAAGAGCGATCAGTCTTATTGTTGTTGTTGTTGTTGTTGTTGTTATTGTTATTGTTATTGTTCTTGTTGTTGTTGTTGTTGTTGTTGCTGTTGCTGTTGTTGTTGTTGTTGCTGTTTGTTGTTTGTTGTTTGTTGTCGTCGTCCCACCCGCAACCCGCCCCGCGACCCACCCGCGACCCACCCCGCGACCCACCCGCGACCCACCCCGCGACCCACCCGCGACCCACCCGCGACCCACCCGCGACCCACCCCGCGACCCACCCCGCCCACCCCGCGACCCACCCTGCGACCCACCCTGCGACCCACCCGCGACCCACCCGCGACCCACCCCGCGACCCACCCCGCGGCCCACCCCGCGACCCACCCGCGACCCACCCGCGACCCACCCCGCGACCCGCCCGCGGCCCACCCCGCGACCCACCCGCGACCCGCCCGCGACCCACCCGCGACCCACCCGCGACCCACCCGCGACTCACCCCGCGACCCACCCGCGACCCACCTTCGACCCAAACCACGTTCAAGGTACAAACCAACATTTTCGGCGCCTGCGGCGGGCTTTTTTTGCATTCCTTCCAGGTGGAGAGCCCGCGACCCACCCCGCGATCAACTCGCGACCAACCCGCGACCCAAACCACGTTCAGGGTACAAACCACATTTTTCGGCGCCTGCGGCGGGCATCTTTTGAATCGTTCTAGGTGGAGAGACCGCGGCCCACCCGCGACCACGTTCAGGGTACAAACCAATTTTTTCGGCGCCTGCGGCGAGCATCTTTTGCATTCGTTCCCGGTGGAGAACCCGCGGCCCACCCGCGACCCAAACCACGTTCAGTGTACAAACCAATTTTTTCGGCGCCTGCGGCGGGCTGCTTTTGCAGGAGGACGAGGAGGGGGAGGAGGAGGAGGAGGAGGAGGAGGAGGAGGAGGAGCAGCAGGAGGAGGAGGAGGAGGAGCAGCAGGAGGAGGAGGAGGAGGAGGAGGAGGGGACGACGACGATGACGTCGACGACGACGACGACGACGAAAAGGAGGAGGGTGGAGGATCGGGAGGGGGGGAAGAGGAGGAGGACGACGAGGAGGAACATGACGACAATGGGAGGACGATGATGGAAGGACGAGGGGGGGAGAGGGAGGACGAGGAAGAAGCGGAGGAGGAGGAGGAGGAGGACGAGGTGGAGGAGGAGGACGACGATGACGATGAGAAAGAGGACGAGGAAGAGGAGGAGGAGTAGGAGGCGGAGGAGGAGGAGGAGGAAGAGGAGGAAGAGGAGGAGGAGGAGAAGGAGGAGGAGGAGGAGGAGGAGGAAAGCGCCATCGACAAGGAAGGTGGGGGCCACGAGGTCCGCCGGCTTGACGACGCCCGCGTCGCCCGCGCCCGCCCCCTCACTCTTATCCGCAATTCCGGGGTGCTATATAACTTTTGCCGGCCTTGCCGACGAATGGTCGGGGGGACTTCCCTGGGGTTAGCTTTTTTATCTCGGGGCCGTTGCTGACGGTCCTGGGGCCCGAACACGGCCCCCGGATGCCACAAACAACTTAAAACAATGAAGGTGACGAACATCTGCAAATCGGCAACTCAAGTTGCATTACTGTTCCAAGGCAGTGTGGTCTTGGCGGTCGAAAGATGACCGAATCGAATGCAAAAATTAGATCGGGCATCGAAATGTCGAACCGACTGAATTCGGCAGGCAGATCGGAAAGCATCAGAATCGACGCCCAACGGCCTCAACGAAAAATTTCAGACAGAAGTCGGAATCCAGAGTCGAACCGCATCGACATCGGCATCCTCGAAGCCAAACCGATTCAAATCGACGGAGTCGAAGTCGAAGTGGCTCCTGCCAGTGGTCGTCGACGTCGTCGCCGTCGTGGAGACCTCCCAGAGGGTGTCACAGTCGATGAAGTTGAGGATCGCGCCGCATCGCCGATGCATCAGCGATGCATCGGCGATGCCTCGGCGGTACATCGGCCACGTCGGCGTTGTATCGTCGACGCCAGCGCAGAGCAAATCAGATTCCACATCGAGTCGCATTGCCGTCGCAATCCTCCGACACCACGTGCTCTGACCATATCCGGGAGGCCTAGGAGTGGTCCAAGGGGAAGTTATGGCGACCTCAATCCCCGACTTCGTGGCGTTTTCGAATGGACAAAATATTCAGGGCACAACTCGGGAATATACGAGGGGAGGGAGGGGGACGTCCGTCCTTGATACGGGGCGCGTGCGAATAGGGCCCCCAAGTGGTGCACCCCAGAGTCTCCCCACCCTCTCTGAGCGGCAAGCTTTCTCGGGCGGAACTCGAGGCCGACTGACTGGCCTGCGATGGTCGTCGTCGCCGTCGTCGCCCCGCCCCCCGCGCGAGCGGCGCCGCCCCAGCGAGTGGCGCCGCGGCGGGCGCCGGCTGCGCCCCGAGGGTGGCCCTGGCGCCACGGAGCGCGGCCTGGGGCACGCGGGCCGCGGGTGCGGAAGCAGAAGACGAGCCCAGGGCGGAGGCAGGACGGGGGGTCGAGGAGGGCGCGTCGGGCGCCGCCGCCTTCCGAGAGCGTGCCGGAATGCTCTGCGAGCGTCTCGGGACACTCCGGAACGGAGCGATCCTCGGCCCCACCCGAGGGAGGGGGGGGAGCTCCTCCCACAGCTGGCGGTGCAGAGGTAGCGTCCCGTGGGGCGCCGCCGGCCCGCGGAAGACAGGTAGCCCCCATGCCTTATGGGGAGAGCGTGCACGGAGGACACCCTGGCAGGGGGGGAATGGCGTACACAGAAAGGGGCCCCTTGCGGCGGTTCGCCTCACAGGGGCAGCGTGCATTCCCCCCTTGCAGTAACCGCTGTTGATCGAGTAAAAAGTGCTCCTGCCGGGGCTCGCATGAGATGTTTGATTGCAAAGGGGCAGCGTGGGGGCACCAACCTGTGCCCCTGGCCCCTGGTTTACAACAACCGCGGCTCCCGCCTGATACTGCCTCACACAATATTCCCAAATCGCGCTCTCGCGCGGGACTTCCTCCCAACGTACGCAGGAGTCGCGCTCTCGCGTGGGACCTCCGCACAGTGTGCTCAAACGCCGCGCCTTCGACACTAAGGAATCATGCTCTCGCTGCAGCTAGTCTCACGATTTACTTGGGACTTGTGCTATCGAATGATAATTCCTCGCGATTAATACAGAACTCACGTTTCAATAACCCGCCTGCTCGACCTGGCCGCCTGGGCCCGCATTCCTGATCCGCTCGCTAAGGTCTGCCCGCCCCGTCTGCCCGTCTGGTTCTGCCACGTGCTGTCTGCCTTACAGACCCCCTCCTGCTACTTCTTTCTCTCGTGCTCCATCCTTCTCCCTTCCATCCGTTCTCTCTTCCCCTGTTTTTAAGAGCTACACTGAATGCGGGTGGCAGGTAAGGAAGATATACCCCCAAAGGGGGTTATGATCGAATACGAAAAGGGCGGGTACCGATGGTTTGGGATATACGTGTAGAATGGCACGCGAGCAGGTGGAGGCGAGCAGTATCATTTGTGGTGTTGTTGCTGTTGGTGTTAATGTTGTTGTTGTCGAGTGGGTTGGTCATGTTGTTGGTATTATGATTCGAGTTGTTGTTGGTGTTGTCGTTGTTGTAGAACTCCCACTTCTAAAGAACCTTGACTGTTGACCCCCCCTCCAGAAGCCGTTACATGTTGTGCAACGAGCGCGTGTCTCAAGGAGCTGGCACCCTTGTTTTTCAAGGGAAAGGGAAGGACCATCAAACTGCGCCCCTTGCCCCATGGGTACAACAACAACGGCTCCCGCCGAATAGTTCCTCACAATGTATTCCCACATATCGCTCTCGCGCGGAACTTCCTCACAACGTATGCAGGAATCGCGCTCTCGCGTCGACACTCAGGAATCACGCTCTCGCCGTGGATGTCCTCACGATTTATTTGGGAATCGCGCTATCGCAAGAGACTTCTACGCGATTCATGCAGAACGCACGCTTCAACAACCCGCCTACCCCTTACCCATTCCCTCCATCCGTTTTCTCTTCCCCTGCCTTAGAGGCGGCACGAAATACACGTTGCGGATAAGAAACATATATCCTAAGGGGGTACGATCGAAGACGAAGAGGGCGGGTATCGAGGGCCTGGGATATACGTGTCGAATGGCACGCAAACAGGTAAGAGCGAACAATCTGAAAATGACTGTTGTTGGTGTTTATGGTGTTGTTGCTGTTGTGATTGTTGTTGTTGTCGTCGTCGTCGCCGTCGTCGCAGTCGTCGTCGTCGTCGTCATCGTCGTCCTCGCCCGCGACCCGCCCGCGACCCACCCGCGACCCACCCCGCGACCGACGCCGCGACCGACGCCGCGACCACCCCCGCGACCCACCCTGGGGCCGCCCCCTGACTTTTGTCCACAACTGCGGGGTGTACTTATGTTCTTTCGCAACGCGAACACGTGCCTGACTACCACGAAGCGAATTGTACTCCCATTGTGCTCTGAAGCGGCTCGCGGGATGATTCGGCGAGCTCCCTCTGTGAACTCGGCAATGGGATGGGGTAGATACCAAACCAAACTTGCCATCCTGAGTAAGGATAGGGTCCAGAAGCATTTCAGAACCCAGCCCTTCGCCGCACGCAGCGGGGGCGGGGCGGATCTGAGGGGCCACTTGCAGCGCTGAGTCGTCTGACTAATGCAAGGGCAACGTCGCCACACTGAGCTGGGCCTACTCAGACCCTTCCCACAGCTCAGCGTGGCACACGTGAACCTTTGCCGAACTCAGCGAGAGTGGGTGCGGTCGGTTGAAGGCCCCACTTGCCGCGCTCAACTGGGGTAGGTGCACGGGCAAAATTGCCGAAACGAACTGGGACAGAGTCCCGGGGCATCTCAAACCCACTCCCCAGCAAAGTGTGGCAAAATTGCTCCGTAGCCCCCTTGAGGCTAGACAGCGGCCACCCGTCGGTTGGAACGAGATGCGGGGCAGAGAAGAGGGGGGTTGATGAGGGGAAGCTATGAAAAGAAACTAACCCAAGAAGAGGAGGAAAAGGAGACTGGTGAGGAGGAAGAGGAGAAGGCGGAGGATGACGAAGATGATGACGAGGAGGAGAAGGAGGACGAGGCCAAAGACCGAGGAGGGCGGGGGAGGCGGGAAGAGGAGGATTGCGATGGGGATTGCGACAGGGGTGACGGGCTCCAGGGGGTAATCAATGACCTGGACTCGCGCGGTGCATCGCCGATCTCAAAATAGGCCCTCGATTGCGAAACCGAAGGTTCATGGGGGCGGGATGGGCTCGATTGGGGGGTCGACGCGCTTCCCACTGAGCCTATCCCCCGCTGACGTCGCCTGTGGGGTTGGCGCATCATGCCCCGAGACATGTGCGCGGCCGAGCGGGGGAGGGGGCACGAAAGAAGGAGGGGAGGCAATGAGATCGGGACGCAAGCCCGGGCTCAATAGGCCGCACTTGAGATGGTCCGGCGGGTTTCGCCAGAGATATGATCCCAACTGTGGGCTTTGATGTGCAGTGACTTGAAGTGGGCCCGCTCGATTCGCATGCGACGTCCTCCCACATCTGAGCCCAGATATGCCATGACATGAGGTGGTCCGCGCACTTGTGAGCTCATCCATGCCCTGACATGGTTCCATCGGGACCGTTTCGCCTGAGGCATCCTGCGTTCCAGTGTGCGCTGACCTGAGGTGGCCTGGCCAATGTTGCCCGAGACATCCTCACAACTCTGGGCTCACAGACGCCGTGGCCTGAGGTGGTCCGACCAACTACGCCTCAAATATCCTTTTGACTATGAATTCCGAAATGCCCCGACCTGAGGGGGTTCAGTTTGTTCCGTCTCAAGGTGCTTCTTCCAAACCTGGAAAAAGTCTTCGGGGCGGCAGCGACCAGTCATCGCAAGTCTTTGCATACTTAGGCGCAGTCGCCGATCATTACACGAGGGCATCTGACCCACATTCATGCCAAGCTCTGCCTGCCTTAAACCTGATGTCTTCGCTCCAGATCGCCGAAGGGCCTTCATCATGAGGGGGCCAAATCATTCGTCAAAATGAAAATGGACGCTTACGTTGGTCGAGGTATACGTCGGCAACGCCGGCATCGATGCACGTAGTTCGTGCGCAGATGATCATGTCATCCAACGCTGCTCATAACATGTACAAAGCCAAGAAAATGTCGGATAGAAGAGATGGGTGGTAGCACTTATACCTGGGCTGGAAACGTGAATCTGCAATTGCCCGTGAAGCGGTTAACGGCTGCGCTGGACCCCGTCCCCGGGGAGAGTGAGCCTGGAGGGAACCCAGACTCTGGCTGCTCCAGGAGAGCGCAGGGGGTGCACAGAGGGGTCCAGGGGGGCAAACTGTTTCGCCTCATCGTCGTGTAGCTACCCGTGGCCAAGCGACGATGATGTGGTAAATGGTGATGGTGATGTTGACGGCGGCGATGGTGAGGACACCTTTTTCAGTGCGCATGAAGGGCATGGTGGCCAGATTGGACACACTGCTGGAGCGATCAGGAGGCACACGTGACGAGAACGGGCAGATACACGCATGCTGAAGTAAATGTGTAGCGAAATGCACGCTGGCCAGAACGGGCAGGCACAAGCATGCTCGAATGCCGCAGACGTTCGCATGATGCACGCTGCACCGAGACCAAAATCAGTGCGATGGGGGGGTATGGGCTGCTTGTTTTGTATACACAGCTTAGGAATGTCTATAACGATCTAACATAAATTTAACGTTGGTTAATATTGCATGTGTTGCGACACGTACTCGATAAACTAATAGAAATACGCGCGCGTTCGCGCACGCTTAGGTTCTAGCACGGCCCAACCCTCGACCACGCCATACCTGTACGCAGTATCGTCCCCATGACGGGCTTGCGACTGCATCATGGACTAAATGGATAGGATAACTGCGGACCAAGAAATGGTACCTAATGATATCGTGAGGCTTATACCAAGTAACCGTTGGGTGCTTCCACACAGTAAGATACGATGTTCCCCTCCTCCTCCTCCTCGGCCTCGCCCTCCTTCTCCTTCTTCCCAAGGCGCCCATCTTTTAGTGCGGTCCATCAGCGCCGAAATGCGTCCCGACCATTGAATCGCAGTCCTGCTGCGGTTTACTTTTGGTTATCCTCCTCCTGCTCGTCGTTTCTGCTTCCCCCTCCTGCTTTCTGCATGCGGAGGATCGCTTTGGGACGGCATGGACCCTAAAACTGTCCTTTAATCCTCCCCATTCCCTCTCGCCGCGAGGGGTCCAAGTGGCTCTGCTGGGGAGGCCCTTTTAGGGCTGCACTGGGCTGCTCTCGGGGAACTGTGGAGGCTCCGTTCGAAGTATGTGGTGACTTTGCGCGCTGCCAGAGAGCCCCCATCGGTTACGAGAGCTTCTTTGGGAGGCTCGGGTCTCTCGTAAGCTGTCAGGGTGCGCTCGTGGAGGCAGTGTAGGTCCGTCTGGCGGGGATCATGGCCACCTCGTGGGCGGT